ATTTAACTTGAAGATGGGAATCTTTTCACTCCCAAGAACGTAGAGATGGGGTACTTCAAGTAAGATTATAATCTGTTGAGGCTGTGTAAGGAAATTCTGGAAGAAATTTCTATCTCTTTGTTAGATTATGTGCACTTGGTGAGGTTGTTACATTCATAACTGTACTCATTGACATGTACTACTATGAGTATAAATTGTGACCTGAGGGGGCTACAACTCTAATAGCTGAAAGTCAGCCCAAAGTAAGTATACACTGAATCTTATTTGATTAACCCAGTATATAAACCTAAATTAACTACAAGCAAACAAGTAGATTTATTCTGGATTCCCTAACATTACTAAAGCCAAAACCTGACCTGCATATAAAAATAGCTGACACTAAGCGTACATTTAAATATATAGCATAGGTAGTATAATTATACATGTCTGTAAACATAATTTTATAGACTAAATATTGCATTCATATTTTTCCTATCTTAAAAATACATGCCATCATCAGAAAGGTTTAATCACTTGGTGAATGCAGAATACTGAGTGTCTGATGCTCTCAAGGGTTTAAACTAATTCTGTAGCATATCAGTTTTCATTGTTTCTTAATAGATGAAGTGTTGTTTGTGTCAGAGACCTGTAATGTCTTCGGTTCATGTAATCACCCCTAAGAAGAGCTACCCTTGAAGCCTGCTGAGATATTTTAAAGGCAGAATGCAACTACAGCTGAGCAATGTCGCATGACCAAAATACATTGTGGAAACTGTGGTAAATAATAAGTCTCTTTCACTTCCTGTATTGCAGGAAATCTTAAAGAAACAATTTGAGTGCTTTAGGAAGACTGTGCTTTGGGAGTTTTAAGTAGTCTCCTGTGAAGACTGATTTTGATTTGGAACCTTGGTAGTTCCTCCTTTTGGCAGAGGAGTTATTTGATATAACTCACTATATCAGTAACACATTATTGATAAACTGGAGGGATGGGAGAATTATGTTGTTGTTAGATTCGGGTGGAATATTTTCTCACATACTGCAAACATTAAGAACTTATTAAATTTTAAAACATACTCGATTCAAAGGTACCTACATTTTTTTTTCCAAAATGTATTTCTTAAAGACTGATTTAGGTGCTTTTTTGTCTCTTGAGGCTGAAGGGGGTTTATTGTCACTATCTATTTACATTATGAAATTGGAATCATCTGATATGTATTCAAAAATGTATTCTGAGACATCTTATTCTGATGACTTTAAACATATGCAATGGAAAAATAATCACTGTTTAAAGTTTATCTTTTTCTTTCATATTCATTATCTCATATTTAATAGAAGAGGAAAACAGGACGTTGTGGTTCTGAAAGGAAACAAATGGACTTCAGGAAATTGCAACAGATTCACCAGTTGGCCAGAGGAGGGAGCAATGCAGCCTTTCTGACTGGTTAGATCAATGTTTCAGCCTAAAATGAAATGTAATAGCTATTTTGGCAATCTACTTTTGTGCCATTAAACCTTGATTAATCCATTAATAAGAACAATAGATTATATTTTACTCTGCTTTAAATGAAGACAACCTTTATGAATTCAGTAGGGATAAATAGGTATTAAAGGTAATAAAAGTGGGGAACACCCAAGCTCATAGCTAAAAATTTGATAGTGCATCAGGGAGTGATGACTCTCCCTGTGTTGAAGCAAAGCTTAAGAAACAAATCTGCATGCTGTAGGAGCTTTATGTATTGTGGGTTGTAAATAGTACACCAAGAACATTAGTGAGATTTAAAATCAGGCACAAGTACAAAGCAGAAAGAACACAGCCTTTTCTTCAGTTGTGTCTTAGCTTCCAGGCAACATAAAGATAATGAGCGAGTTCTGTGAGTATCTATATAGCCAAGGGAGTAATATTGGTATAGCAATGAGAGAAAAGGTTTTAAACTGCTAATCTATTCCTGTTTCTTAATGGGTAAAAAGGAATACTAGTGGATCAAAACTACCATATAATCAACTTTGTGTTTATGTCAGAATTCAGTATTGCCTATTAACACTGCTGCTATTTGATCATAATTAATAATAGGAAGGACAAAATTGCATTATGCAAAATGGAGGAAATATTACGACTGTGGAAGGAAGGAAGGAGCTGGGTGGTGGTAGGATAAAAGAAAATGAAAAACAGAACCGGGGAGGGGAAGAGCATTGATCTTCCAAAGTAATTAAATGTTATCTACTATTTTAGTATTTCCTTGGCTGTCATTCCATATATCTTTAAAGATTTAGAAAACAGAGGATATCATATATTTCTTGTTACCTACACATATTAATATCTTTGCCTATAGAAACTGGGACTATGATAAAGCAGTTTTCCTGTTGCTAACTACTTCGGGCTCCAAGAAGTCGCTTTGGTTGCTAGCTACAGTCAGTGTTGTCTGTTCAGGAGCAGAAAAAGTAGCAGAGTTCTTTCTTCCACATCTTGTAGGTGTATGTTTGAAGTAGGTTGGCTACTGCTAGAGTAAGATCCTTCATTTTCTTCTGAAGACATATGCCTAAGTGACACCAATATAAAAGTATTGCAGAATCGATAGGCTTGCTGAGAAATGACATGTGCATAGCTAGGCTCAAGAGTTAACATCACTGATGGAAGTTTGACAGGGACAATACTGGTTTGAGGGTCCTACTTCCAAAGCAGCCCTAACCCCATTGGATGCTCTCTTGTGCTTTAATGTTTCAGTACTGTGGTCTCTGTATGGGCTGTTCTGCAGCTTCAGAGCCACCTCATTTACCTTCCTTTGTTTGTTTCAGACTGACACTCTTGTCATCGCAGAGGTCCCTCTCCTCCTTGACATTTCACCCTGTCACTCATTCCAAAAAGCCGAGCCTGTGGCTAGCACAGGGACAGTTAGCAGAGCCACTCCCAGGAGACTGCTGCTACTTTAGCCACTTACTAGCTGTATGGCTCTGGTCAGATTTCTGATGATGGCCCCCACACTAGCAGAAGCAACAGTATACTGATGTGCTGAAATGCTGTTATGAAAGAGTACAGAAGACATAATGCTGACGATAGCTTGGGCCGATGAACTGTGTTGATTTAGGTAAATCTGTATGTCTTTTAGCAAGGCCCCACTCCAAAGAAAACAGTTTGACTTGTTCTTTCTTATGGTGACAGAATTTCACCTTAAATGGTAAAGGGCAAGTGTGTATTTTTAGACCCACTTTCCTCCCTTGTAAGTGTGCTCTAGGGGTATTTGAACTGATCACTTAATATAATTGTCTCTGGTCTGACATGAGGGAAGGTGGGGTGGAAGAATAATGGTCACATCTGAAGGTGGTAAAATATACATCACTGTATTTCAGAAAAACTCAACCAGTTTCACCGTAGGAGGACTAACTGTAATGCACAAAGAGAAGCTTGTCTTGCTACATTAGTATTCAATCTCATAGCTCTTTAGGCTTAATTTCAAAGTGTTTATTTGCATCATTGCTGAAATACTGCTTCCTCTCTAATCTAATAACTAATGCAATTGCTTAAGCTTATGCCGCCTGTTTTCTCAGTAGCCTCTGGTCACGCTGTTTTCCGCATCTGTGAAGCATTGTTAGAGCAAATGAAGAAGTGTCAACTGTTATCATCAATAAGGCTAATGAAATGCAGAGCACATTTGCATATCCAGGTATTTCACCAATCTCCACAGCACACAGCGGGCCATATACAAGCAAGTACAGCTTCTAGTAGCTGAGATATCCAAGGAAGTCTGTTTTCTGGTGTAAACACAGTTATATTTATACACCAAGCATGAGCTGATTGTAAGCAGAGCACAGGTGGATGTAGATTGTTCTAGCAGCAGATCTTGCATGCATTTAAAATGCGGTAGGTCTGTAAAAGTTGGCATTAAGTATATATGGCCAATATAAGGGCACTGGTAGCAAGAAAAACCACTGGTGAAAGAAATGATGAATCAGCCCTTTCCTAACCCTTCACCCAATTTAATTTATACAATCTGCCATGGTCTCAGCTTTAAGCCTGGATTAAAGCCCCAGATTCAGTGCTGGGATAAACTGAATTCCACGGGAGTTGTGCCCATTCACACAAAGACAGAGTTTGTTCCTGTGGAATAATGATGTGCCTTTCTGCCGAAAATTTTACCACTTGAATGCCAAGTGCAGTCCAGAGACGCTTAGTATTCCTGCTTCACTCAGTATAAAACTGGCACCTCCAAAAGCTCCTCTGCTCTGGCCAGTTTGGTATGTCATTGCAGGCTTTCAAAATCAGGGCTGGCTTCAGCATTTTGCCTGGATCATTTCCCAGTCATATAGTGCTCCCCAGCAGATGGCTACATCCGTCTCTGCTGCAGCAACTTCTTTCCTTCCATAAGTGAAGCTAGCAGGGTTGTAACCATCCTGTGCGTATATCGCTGGAGGTGCTGACATCAGTGGGAGCCTACACAGCTGTACGGCTCTGCCTGCATCAGTGAGAGCTAGTGAGGATCAGGGATTAATTAATAGCAGGTGATCAGTAGCACCAACACTGAGACTCAATCTATTGGAACGATTTAGCTTTGGATGGTTTTATTTAATTTTTTACAAGCTTTTCTCACTCAGCCAAGCCCATTACCTCCTACATTCTTCCCTCTTTGGCCTCAATTTCACGGGTTCAGTTTGCATGTTTGTTCTGCCTAAGCAGGACAGCTGCATCCAGTGCATTTTTGCCTATTCAGGGCTTTTCTTCTTTTCAGTTCAAGCTTTTTCTCCTTCATTTGGCAAGTCATTTCAGGGAAGCATAGATAGATGTAAGGGTGTGTTTTCTTCTTTATTTTATGTACCTGACAGAGCACTTATATAATTTTTGAACATTGACTTGTTCACTGATCCTACAGAAGGTAACTGCACCTGACATTTTATATTTCCCTGCTAGCTGGGTTTCCGGAAAAACTTTCGAGAGCATTAACATGCAAATGACAGGAGCAATCCCTGTGGTTCTTTTCCCCTTCAGATCTCTGCAGTGAAAGAACATCCTGCGCTGCTTTGTTTTTCAGGTTGATGGCTTCCTGACGCTTCTCTTTGGCCTGGCTAGCATTAATACCCTTACAGTAATCAGTGTGACTCGCTACATCAAGGGTTGCCATCCTGAGAGAGGTAAGGAATAAAGGCAAGTCCAGTTCTGCCTTCAATGAACCTTGTGCAAATCTGTATTTCTTTCAGTCACAGGCTGTATCAAGTACAAATTAGATGCATTTGGAAACCAGAACATAACAGTCATTTACATTACAAACATGTTTGCATAGAATCCTTCGGGGTTAACTCCAGTAAAAGCCGAATTATTACTGGTACACTTTGGTCACCATGGGTTAAATTCACTCTCATGCCAAAGATATCACAGGTCCTGCTGGCCCTCTGTATTCTTCAAAATGCGACTTAAATGACTCCTAAATGATGCATACGTCGTTGTCTGGATCGCACTGTAAGTAATGAATTTCATCTTCTATGAGAAGGTATTTGGGAAGTTTCCAGTTGTTGATAAGATCCTTGGTTTGGAAGGCTGCCCTGCATACAAACATTTTCAATCTTCAGGTTGTTTTGCCAGGGTTTGCACACAGAAGGCATCATGGACTGCTTTAGATGGCAGTGGGAGCATTCCATCTGCACATCTTGCCTCCAGCTTTTGTAGCACTGCGCATCCTGCCATCCCCACATGCCTCTCCATCCTCCTCTCAGTGGACAGTTTCACAGCACAGGACATGAAAATTACTTATGTAGTCTCTCTTCTTTACACCTACCACTTCCATTCCTTCCTAAATTCCTTCCTCCACCTTTCACCCATCCTTAGATAATGTATTACCAATTTTCAAGCCTTTGTTATGACTGGCTTGCACCATCTTTCAGGCAGGAACCTATTATATTAATGTCCATAGGTAAAGCATGCAGAAATGCACTGGATACATCATAGGAGTTTTTCTCTCTAATAGCATGAGTAGTATTAGCTGTGAAAAGAACTTCTGCAGAGTGGTCTTTTTTCCACAGAAAGTTCTTCTGAAGTTTGTTGTAATGACAGCTTGTTAATTTTCAACACAAACTGCTGTTGGAGCTGCTAGAATTTGTCTGAGATGTATTCTACATCTATATCTTATATCCATTGCATATTATGAAATCATATGTAAAACCCATGGTTCTCTTTTGAAAGTTGTATCACACATTCATCTGAGGGTGTGCATAATTTATGTTCGCCTCTAGAAGAAACCTGAGCAAGGACTCAGTATAACTTTACAGAAATGTTGAGGACCAGAAATTGGTGTAAATGAAGAAATAACCACAATGCATAGCAATAGCAGAACAAATTAAATATTTTTTATTGAATGGCTAATGTAGTTTGAGCATCTAATGTATTTTCTACTTTTTAACAAGGAAAACTTTGAAGTGATCAAGCAAATCCTCTGAATTTAGACTTACCTTGTTTGTTTATATGTAAAACAACATATAACTGTTTCCGGCTTTTTACAAAATTGCCAAACCTAAGTCTAATGTAGAATTTACTAATTCTGCAGTGCTCAGCAAACACATTGTCTCCTGTTTAAAAGTCATTATTTCCACTGTTCACGAATGGCCTTGAACACAAGACTGAGAGATGTTTTCAAATTTAAGCCTTTCTTATGAATATGCATTGTTTTGTCTTAGTATTTTTTTTTAAATAGCTGTATTTTCCTTATTAACTGTTGGTATAAGAGTGCAGTTAAATTTCAGAGATACGTTTGCCTCTCTAGATACTATTTTCGAACTAAACTATGCCATTGCAGGTCACTGCATCAGCAACAGCAGTATGACGGTGGCGCTGGTTCTCATTTGGATAGCAGCTTTCTTCTGGTCAGCAGCTCCATTACTTGGCTGGGGCAGTTATACAGGTAACAGGTATCTTTCAGTTGTACTTATTTGGCACCTCTCCACTTAACTGAACAAAGATACTTACCTTTCTTTCTTGCTGTTTGTGATAAAACAGACCTATTATCAGTGGAACTGAGAAAATCATTCATCACACATGACGTATGCTCAGAGCGTTGCCTGCTTTGATATCACCTATAAAGAGATTTTTTTTTTAAGATATCACAGGAGAGACTTGAACCAAGTGCATATTACCTATGAAAAAAAAGAGAGGCCAGAAATATTTGGCATGGTTAAGCAATGAGATAAAGGAAACTATCAAAAGACATCCTTCAAAAACTGTCAAGATTAGGAAGCTAGAAAAGAACACAAGTTCCAGCCAGTTAAACTTGAAACTATAAGACAAGCCAGAAAGATTTGGTGAAACAGTTTGCTGAAAATATTAAAACTAACATAGCAGAAGAAAAAGTTACCAGAAAGTCTGTCAGTCCAAGAAGTGATTAAGGTGCAAGATAAGGCCATAGCAAAAAAGGGAGGGGGGAAAGGAAAAATTTTGAATGGTGAACACTACAGTAATTCAATGGCTTAGGGATATTCCCACACCAGAAAATTTTTTCATGGGAAAAAGTTGGAGAAATTGTCTCAAATTAAGTCTCCAAAAATTCAGCAAAACAAATCTCTAGGAACAAATGGTAATGATACAGGAGTCCTAGCAACTGAAATCATGTGACTTAAGTTGTCCAGCATTTATCTGCTTGGATCTTGCAGGCATCTGTATCCTCTGAGAAATCATGAGACCTATGAAGACTTATTAAAGCACCTATGTGAATATATCCTCTTACTTATTAAATACATGCTTTGAGGTATCTCTGGACCCTTGAAGTATGGGTGTGAGAAAAGTATCCATTTCGATGATTGGCAAAATCTTTTATCCTTCCCAAACCAAAACGGTACCAGGATATTAGGTTTGATGAACCTTTTGTTTGAGACAGAACCAAACTGTTTATTAGGCTGCTCTAATTTTATGTCATGTTTTTGCAAACTGGGTATGTCATAATCTTGGTAGGTCTGGACTGACCATTTCTGTGTATCTTCTGGTGTTTCCTTTTTACAATAATCTTACTAACTCTTCATTTGTAAAAGGATTTCTGATGTCCCTTTTTGTCTTTAAACTACAGCCAGTCACTTCTTGGTCATCACTGCCTTGGTCATCAAGGCCTCCAAGTGCTCCCATGGATCCTGTTTGCACTTTGGATTCAATTCCTTGACAGTGGCCTTCCAGACCACTTCTAGGAGCAGTTTTCCCTACTGAGAATCACAGTGGTCTCAGGTTCCTGGGCTATCTGACTCTAAACACAATTCCACTGAGGGCACCCATGGAGACGTGGAAGCCCAGCAATGGCAAGTGCGGCAGCAGGCAGCAGTGCAGGCAGCGGGAGCCGGCAGGCCACAACACATTATGCCTGGCTGACTCAGACCTCTCACTTACACACAGCAGTTGCAGGGGTATGCAGGACCCCTTTGATTTTTGGAAATACTGCTTGCCTATGTCCCTGCAGAGGGAGAAAACACAGCTCTGAATTCTGACTCACAGAAAATCTGCAGGATATTCTTTTCATGTCATCTGGAAGCTACTTTCATTTTTCAGTCAAAAGTTTTCACAAACCAGAAGCCTGGAATTAAGCCAAGTTTATGGTTTTCTTTTTGAATCTTGAGGTCTACTGATGAATAAAGCAAAGGGGGCAAAAATCTATTTCTCTTACTAAACACTCCACACAGCAACACCTAGAGCTTTTGGTGATAAAAATATTGAGCTCTTTTTGATGAGAACCATAAAAGAGATTTTAATCTTTTACTCCTTTAATTCATCCTGTCTAAACCTCCTATCACCGGTGAGGAATTAAGAGATTTTTTTTTCTTCAGAATTATCACTGAATGTCAGGGAGAGGTCTGTTGCTAAATCATGCAGGCTTCACCTGTATTGTGTCTCCAGGACTTGTTAATACTTGACTTGGCTCATGCTTCATTTATTTGTAATTCAATTTGCTGCCATAACTGTCAGAAAAAAATAGCTTTTTCCACTTAAAAAGAAAAATCAACAATTCAAAATCTATAGAAAACCTCTAATGCTATTGAACTCAAGTTTTCTATCAGGATACCTTTACAAACACATCAAAGGGTCTAAAGAAGTCAACTGTTATTAATAAAAGTATTTAAACAGAGACTGCACTTTATTCTCACTGCCTTTCCCTTAAGTATCTGAGCAGCTAGTGTCCGTTTGTAAATCCCACAAACTGCAGATCCCGCAATCTGCCTGATTTCATCTTAAGAGCCTGCAGCTCCTTCGTCGTTGCAGAAATGTATGCTTCCCATTTAGCAAAAGGTCTCATATCTTTCTAAGTATTTATATATTTCGTCTTCCCATAATCTTTATCATTAACTGTAGTAATTTGCTTTCATGGTTCTCAATACAGTAAAAATTTCATTGCCCTTTAGTTTCTATTAAAAAAACATTTTTATTTCCTAATTTGCTATGCAAGTAGTGGTAGTGACTTTTTACTTTTGGTATACTGTCTCTTTACAAGTGCTTATTATACTGTTACAGTGCTCACCTTAGGAAGTTACTATGTAGAAGATTATGACAAATAAGAGTAGATAACACTCAAGAATATCACACCTATTGAATTGTTTGTTTTTTTTTCCTAATAAAGTATCACAATTTCCTATCCTGAAGCAACAGTTAGTTAATTATGGATTTACACTGGAAATCTAAACTGGACAGAATTCTAATATGCTAAAACTTGTTACAGTCTAGCTGGTCTTGAAATATTGTTTATGTAGGAAATTAAGTCATGGCTTGTTAAATCAGAAAGATCAATCCATTCTTTAGTATTTAAAAGAAGAAAAATACGCATTTGAACTGATAAATTAATTACTCAAAAGCAGATAAATGTTCTAAAAATGCTAACCAACTTATTTTTGCTTTCCAGATCGCATGTATGGCACATGTGAGATAGACTGGGCAAAAGCCAACTTCTCTACAATCTACAAGGCCTACATTGTTTCCATTTTTATCTGCTGTTTTTTTCTGCCTGTCACAGTCATGGTCTTCTCATATGTGTCAATTATCAACACTGTCAAGCTAAGCCATGCATTAACAGGACTGGGTGATCCCACAGACAGACAGAGGAGAATAGAGCGGGACGTCACCAGAGTGAGTTTGGCTTTGATGTTGAGTGGGATTTATCTAAACGAAATCAATTTCTCCAAAACTTGCTCTCAACTAGAACAGAATAAAACCAATCAGTCACATTTCATTTCTCTATAATCTCTAGTGACAGAGTCTGAACTCAGTAAAGAACACGAGGTTTGTTTAAAACCCCTACCCCATCAGTTGGCCACACCACTGGTGCCACATCACATATGAAAAATAATCTAAACATAATAGGAGCGGGTTATACAGCACAAAACCAGAAGTTTGCTTTGGCAAATCTTTTTCAAAAGTTACGTTACTTCTGAGCATACACAGAAGTTACAGTTGAGATTTCAATTCACTTACCGTTGACTTAAGTCTACCCAAAATCATACAGGGAACTGTAGTTATTTTCATTCCATTGGATGAGGCATCGTTCAAGCACACCACCATGCCAAAACTCAATATATAACTTCTAGGTCTACCTGGCTCTATCAGAGTAAATCTTCTGCTTGCCTGTATTTTCCTGTGAGCCAGGACAATCTAAGTGTTTCCCTTCCATCCAAGTGCCCAAGCTACTATTCGCAAAGTATTGCTTCCCTAATGTCATCTTCCAGAATAGATTTAAGACTATTCTTCTTCTGTCTTTTAGGTTTCTATTGTCATCTGCACAGCCTTCATTATTGCATGGTCGCCATATGCTGTCATTTCTATATGGTCTGCCTATGGTCATCCTGTACCCAATCTTACCAGCATTCTTGCCAGTTTGTTTGCTAAATCTGCCAGCTTCTACAATCCCATTATCTACTTTGGAATGAGCTCCAAATTTCGGAGGGACATTTTCACCTTGTTCCATTGTGCCAAGGAAGTCAAGGACCCTGTAAAGCTCAAACGTTTCAAAAACCTCAAGTCAAAACAAGAGCCCTCTCAGAAAGAAGTGAAGTATGCAGAAGAAATGCACCCTGCACCAAGCCCTGATTCTGGGATGGGAAGTCCAACCAACACCCCACCTCCTGCAAACAGGGAAGTGTATTTTGGTATTCTCGAGACACCATCTAATAACCTGGATATTGAATGCGATAGACTGTAAGTTTTGTGGCCACTTAATACATTTCAGGAAGACCCTCTTCAGATCAGTGCTTGAGTGATTTCCTAATTCCCAGTCCATCTGTTTCTTTCTATAGCACTAATGACTATACAACTCAAGCAAATCAGACGGTAAAGTGATATTTTCCTTCTATGTAGGTACAAAATGCTACAAAGCACATTACAGTGTGGGCAGCACACCCAGTGCCAGGAACTTTCGACTTTCACATGCATGCAGGAAAAGGAAGACTGACCTGTGAAGAGCAGGTATTAGTTAGCAAAAATAACTAATAAATTCCTATCCAAATCTTATAAATTAGGAGATTACATTTCCTCTTCAACAGTCGCAGCCATAGAGGACCATTTTAGGTTGGTGGTGCTGCGCAGCCCAGGCTGTAGGAGAAGGTGAGCCCTGCCGAGATTGTTGAGGAGCTGCTGCAGCTCTGATGGTTGCGAGCCAGCAGGCAAAGAGGTGTGCTCCCTGCGGGGCACGGAGGCATGCCCAACGTGGGGGTCCCAGGCCCTCTGTGTGCGTGGCCGTGTGTCCGATCGCCTGTGCCTGACTCTGCATGTGTCTATGCGAGTTCCAGGAGTTGTAGCTCTTGGCATTTTGTGGTCACTATAGTCTGAACAGCGGCTTCATATTTTTCCTCATTGGCCTGACCTTCCTGGTGAGCAGAGCCTGTCTGTAGCACTCAGATTCAGGAAAGCTGGCCTTTAATTTTACTGATCTGTCTCCAAACTGGTTGTTTTTCTACCTGACAATTAAGGTGGAGCAAGAGATGTTCTACAGGCAATAAAACCAAAAATTACACTAAGGTTTTAAGAATACTGAATGGCATCAGAGCTATTTGCAAAATATAATCTAGCACTTCACTGCTGCTTCTAAAGAAAGTTTTTGTACCTGCTTATGGGTAAAGAGATGACTTTTAGGTAAACGTAACTAAGTAACAATTAAGGATAGTGATTTAAATAGCTAAACTGTAGTCTTAAATCAGTAGCAAGATTATCAGATGTTATAATATACATTATTTCACCAAGTTTATTTTACAGAACCAAAATGAGGAGGTATATCTTCATAATTCCTCACCTTGGAAATTAACTGCATACTCAGAGCGTTATGTAAAAATGTTTCTGTATTAGCTGTGGAAACTGTGGGTTCATTTAGTGCCATTTACAAGTTAAACAAGGAGGAAAAAAAAGAAGAAAAAACACCAACAACATTGGTTGCTAACCTCACTGCTATTTATGACTTTTTGGAATTGCACTGTCTGGGTATGCTAAAATGTAGTTGTTTTGCAAAAGTATGCTTTTCCAGATGTGTTTCTTGGGAAAGTTACAGAGAGAACCGGCTTTCATTTCCCCCATTGCTCTGTTTGTTTTGAGAAATTCACCTGTGTTTTGAAGTTAAAAACAAATAAACATTATAAGCAACAGTGAGGAACTGTGTTTTCTTTCATGGCCACAGATCTAAACTACAAGAGTATTCATTTTTGTGGAAAATTTTGAGGTATTGGTGCTATTTCATTACCATAAATAATTAAAAGCAAATAAGTAAACAGTTTGATTCTAGATAAAAGTGCATACCGTAGCTGCAGAAATAGATTAAATCGTTTAGGGCAAAGTCCTTTCACAGCTGAATGAAGCCAGGCTGGCCTAGCCCAAGTCAGTGCACAGTTTTGAAAGCTTCTAGGTTAGCTCAAAATTCACCTTGGTAACCTTGCTGGACTGAGCCTTCTCACTTCTGAAATGCTTGGGTTTGTCTCCAAAGAGGAGTGCCACGCATCCCCATCAGATGTGGTTCTTGGAGGTACCTGCAGCTGCGAGCGTGCTGAACACCCACCCGTAGAGCCTCCATGGCCATAGATGCCAGGCTAGCTTTTAAGCTGTGGTTTTGCTAATTTACAGATAACTAGAGAAAATTCTTCTCCTGCTGCACTGTAGCAATGCTATTGATCTGCAGGATTCAGACTTTGACATAGAGATGTGAAAAGGGCAAGGAAGAAGGTGGAGCAACAAGGCCATTTCCAAGAGTGCCCCCAAACTCCTGCTGAATCTACTGGTTCATACACTGTTGAGTATGTACAGGGAGGGCAGACTGGGGGGGAGAGGAGAGAGCTGTAAAAATGAGCCAGAATAGTAGTAGAGCAGAGGAAAAACATAAGAGGGGGAGAACCAGATAAGCAGGGAAGCAAGGGGCCAGGAGCCAAAGGATGCATACCTGCTGAAAGACAACTAGAAACAGTCAGCACAGAAAAAGCCTCGACTGGATCGTGGCAGATCTCCCTCCCGCAAGGCCTACGGCTCAGCCCTTTGTGGATATACAGTAACACCATGGGACTGCATAACTGTAGAGCAGAATATCTGGTTTTGCAGGTTACATAGGGAAAAAGAGGATGGATGCCTTTGCAGGCACCAACCTGCGCTCCAGGTTCAGTAACAGCAGGAGCACATTTATCACTGAAGACACTCAGGTTAAAAAGCATCCAGCCCTAAAGCACTAGTGCCCTGTAGCTGCACCTACAACACCAGCTGAAGGCAGAAGGCAGAAAATAGCTCTAGAATCCATTACCTCCTTACCTTGAGTGCAGGTAAGGAAATGATCTTGATCATTTTAAGTGTGTGAATCAACACAAATCAATTTGTAAAACACTTTGCCTGTGTCCTGAATTTCCCCCACTTGTCTCTGGTCCCACATGAGGCTGGCCCCTGCTACTGCCTCCACAGCTGGGCTTCTCTGCCTGCCAAGCACACGCTGCTGGTTAGAGAGGAGCAAAGAGCTTGGGGGCTTGAGACAGTCAGCAAGGACAGACACAGTCTAGATATGCCAAAGGGGGACAGTGGGGTTTTATGCTTTTTACTTAGCAAGAATGAGGTACAGTGCAAACAGCATAGAGAGTCCTGGACTCAAATAACCTTGCTGCTCCCCATAACCTTGGATTTTCTTTTACAGTGGATGAGTTTTAGCAGCAGAGATGCAAGAAGGCTGTTGTCCTGACTGATATACTGGTGATAAGGATGTCTTCCTTGGAGTTTTGAACACTTCATCCAAGACAGTCTTAAAAGGGAGGTTCCACTAACCTTGACAAAGAGACTGACTACCTCTCCCAAGCTTCCTCTTTAGAAACACTGTATTTTTACATATTTTTAATGCAAAAAGCCAATGCGTGTGCCAAAGGCAGGGCCACATGTCATATCTCCAGGAGACAGAACATCCCATCCTAGTGCTGCCACCTTACCTTGTGTGAAGGCACGCAACAAGCAGGCACCATGGGCTTGCAAATAGGACCTTGTTCTTTCACTACCTCTACAAGGGGACTTTTTCAATGTGTATTGTATTGTATGGACTAGTGCCAGCCTGCACTAATGAGATCTTGTGACTATTGCTAGTATCCAAATGTTCATCTGTCATAAAGTAGGAGAACAATATTCGGATCTTCCTTACTTTGGCACAGAAATTCTAGCATGTAGTCTCCTTCTGTCTCTCCTGCTCAGCCCTGGATATTAGTGTGACATTTTGTAATTGTTGGGGTTGGTTTCATGTATGACACACTAAAACTAAGCAGCAGCATCTGGCAGAAGGCAGTAGGCCAAGCAATTCTACCATTTCCAAAGGATGCTCTCAGCATTTGCTGGCTTGTTCCAGCAAGATTTGAGACAGAGGCCAGCCCTCTTTTACCCTAGATGCAAGAAAACCAGCCAAAAAAAAATTGCTATCTGTTCATTACCTATTTCTTTACTCACAGCCCTGTTGACATCATCAAAGCACTCCAGTAAAAATGATGTGCCAGAGCATAGTAAAGTCACTCTGCAAAAAGCCCAAAGCCCTTAAGCCACCCTTTAAAATATGACTTTAACTACTCTACATATTAATTTCCAAACATTTCCCAACTGTTTTGATTAGCTGTTGATTAGTACACTCAGCAGGTGAGTTCTTAATGGCTACACAATTCATGTATTTACACATGTATTAACATCTCATCAGCTCGTTCTTGATTATTTCTTATAATAAGTATTGTTCATAATTATTGACACATAAGCTTTATACCATAATCACTGCAGTTATCAGTCCTGAAGCACAGTTATTAATACACATATAACTTGGCCTTGCAGGTGGATTACCAACATCCCTGTCACTGACGCAACCCTTTCACTCAGGCTACACAGTTCAAACAATCAAGTTAACCCAGGATTGCTTCTGTTCAATTTCCACATTTAAAAATAACTTTAGGGGGTGGGGAGTGGGGGGGAGCTATAGTAATCATTTTTTCTTTATGCCAAGGAAACCTTTTAGACCCACATTTCCCCTGTTGACATTTTTGCCAAGCTTAAAATCCTTTAGGGTGTCAGCACGTTGAAATACATAGCAACATTTCTTAATAGCTTTGACATTTCAAACATGAGTAATGTGAGTTTGTTGTTGGAGGGAGTGGGATAGCCCACTGCAGTCCAGTCCCTGTTCTCAGTGCTGTTATGTGTATTTATCTAATAACTCATGTAAGAGTATTTCTTGTAGCAAAGACCAGAAAACAGGAAATCCTCCTCCAGTCCATTAAGACAGTGACTTGATTACAGTGCGAACTACTCAGGCTTGCACCCCTTTGCAGGCTCTCTCTCCACCCCTCTAAATCCTTCATTCTTTGCTGCACAGATTGACAAAATAAGAGAGATACAGGGTGTGCCCATCCAGGCATGGCCTATGGTTTGGCACTTTCCTCAGGAGAGAGAGATGGAGACAAAATCCCTTCTGAAGGGAAGGGCTGAACAAGGACTTGTTCTCCTTCTACCCTGGTGAATGTTCTCACCCCAGGCAATAATGAAAAACACAGGTAATGCTACCACGTCTGTATTTTCAACTATCCTGGAGATCAGCCAGCCTGGCAAACCAGGTTCTCCTGCAATGGTGTGTCTGTCCCTCTGCCTACCTCTAAAATGTCCAAAGGCTTGGAGTCTGAACCTTCTCAGTACATCAACAAATGCAAAGGATTTTTGCAAGCACTTTTGGAACTCTGAAGACCAAAGTGAAGGTACCTGCAGGGTCAAATGGGTCTGTGGCTAGTATGAGGTCTGAAGTGGATAATTACTATCTGCAGCAAAGATTCCACAGTAGCTGGCCCCCAGTCCCCTTCCTGCATTGATGATCTAGGAATATGAAAAGCTACAGTACTGTGCATTTGAAAAAAAAAAAAAATACCTCCAAGGTCCTCATGATCAGCATATATTCCTCCTTTCTGGGAGATGTAATTAGGTGATTCCAGATGAAGCAGGCTAAATGCTGAAAATGGGATCTTCTTCAGAAGAAAAAAGGTACTACTGGATACACTTATACACAGATCCTGCAAAAAGCGTTGTGCCTTAGAAAACTTCATATACCCACATTCAGATTAAGAGAAGTAGCTAAGTGAATTGCATTGACTGCAGGAGAGAACAGGACCCTACCATCTGGGCCTATTTTTTTGTCTACAACTTTGAGTACACAAACATGTATTTAATACATACTTCTGAAAGCTTGTTTTTTAAGTTGGATTTTTTTTTTTAAATTTGTTTGGGTAATCTGTCTATATAACAGTAGATCATCATAAAAGGGAAGCCAGACTGCATCCTCCTTCATGTACAAGAGAAGCACAAGAATAAATTTAAGATTCAAACGTTGTCCAAATAGCACTACAGTAAGAACACAGAACAGTAAGAAAATTACTAAATGGAAAGTAATAATCTGATTGCTATTACAAAAATCATTTTACCACTGAATGGTAAAAATAAAAAAAAAAAACAACCTACAAGCTGTCTGTGCCAATAACCATCATCTTTAATGCTCACTGAATGAGACAGAAGCCCTTTGGGGATAATGAAAACACAGCATTTAATTATGTAATAGGATGTAACCTAGGAAAACAGGAGTGGAAGGACTTACAGAAATCACTATAATAAATGCCCTCCCTCTCTGATATTTGACAGCCTCCAGTAGCCTTTGACACCCCACACCAGCCAGCCTGGCTTCTGGAAGAACCACCACTAGAGCAAAGCTAGGAAGGTCCTGCAGGGTGCTCATGTGGTGGGAGGCACGTCTGGCTGGGTCCTGCAAGCTGCCAGAGCAGAAGGTGCCTCTGTGTGTCACATCTGCCACTATATTTGCAAAAGGAAGTATGAAGTCAAGAATAATGTTTGGCAGCACAAATGAAAGTGAAAGCGTGTCTTGATGATGTGACCTGGCAAAGCCTTTCCACACACCAAAGATAAAATTCAAATGGATTATTATCATATAACTGAAGGCATACAAACACCTATGAGGGCTGGAGGTTGTAGCACAGTGTATTCGCCCTGAAAATTTTTTTTATGGTTTGGCACACTGGGAGTGTAGGTTAGACCTGTGTCTAGGGAGCTGTTGCCTATTTGGTGAGCTACAGTACTGCTTGAACTGGCTATCTTTACTTTG